GGATACTGGTTTGGGGTATGGGGTGTATAGGGTTTAGGGTTTGAAAATTCGCAAACTAATGACTTCCTCTTCGACTCTTCATACCCCCCGACATACTCAAACTTGTTGGTGGTTAGCAGGGAATAAGGGGATATAATCCCAATATACGTCCGAATAACATATTCCCTTATTACCTACTACCCCAGTAACCAAATCCCTTCCACAAAAATCGAAAGCCCGCACCCCATATACCCCCAAAATGCGCAATGCGGCCCCTATACACTCTCTACGAAGGTTAAAAGGCGCCCATCACGCTGAGAAACCCACAACCTGCTTACTGATGCTTAGTAGGGAATATGGGGATATTATTTATATATACCTATAGAGGTGATATTGGGATGATGTTCCCTTATTCCTTACTAACCACCGCTGTAAACCTGTAGAACTCTACGAAACGCAGGAATTTGCTTGGGTTTGGAATCGAGACTTTCGGGGTTGGAGTGTGTCGGTTAGGGTGGTATCTAGAAAGCCGATCCCTCGAAGGCCCTAAATCAAAGAGGTCCTCTCCCAGGGAGATGAGCGACGCGTTGAGCCTTGCTTGCTAACGCTTGGATCAAGAAGGCTTTTGGAACTTTTAAGTTTGAGAAGTGCAAGGAACAATAGTTGTAGCAGTAGTGGTAACAACTATAGTAGCGATAATAGTAATAGAAATAACCTCCTTTGGGATAATCATCAAGGGTAAAAACAAAGCCACACTCCGTGCACCCGGAGCTCTCCAGGCCTAAAACCCAAAACATACATATCAACATATCGCTCAACAATGTAAGCATACAATGGCCTGTAATATGACGCTGACATGACTGCTCCTCCAACTCGCCCTCCTACTTCCTAGCTCCTAATAGGGAATAGGGGAATATAATCCCGATATAACCACTCTATCATACTTTCCCTTATTCCTTACTAACCCTCAGTAAGCCTGCCACTACCCTCCCACTCCTCAATGCAATCGGGCGGCCGCTCGATGTCGGCGCTCAGCTCATCAATGAGGACCGTCTTCGAACTGCAAGGTCAAAAGGCGAAGCCACTTGCGGAGCAATATGTTACTGGCACTATTTCTAGAATTGTTACTCGTAAGCTTACTATGGCTATGACTCTTAATCCTACTGTTTCTGACATGCCTACTCTTACACGAAGAGGGCTTGTTAGGGTTCAGAGTGCTCAGTTGGGAGTTCAAGGTTTGTGCACGCTTGCGGGCGGCGCTCAAAACAGAGCCTTCCTCAGATGCACTCAGTGACCCCTGGTTTTTAGGGCTTACTGCCTCGCACGAATAGATATGTAGCCGCAACAGCAGGACCCCTTCGCCCCAAAAATGGAGTCTAAGAACGCGGGAATCTTTGTATGGAGATAGATAGAGAGTCCATGCAGGGGGCATATAGGTGGGTACATACATATCTAAGCATGTATATAAATGCTATAATTAATGGGAGACATTATCAAATCATACCTCATATGAGCTATAGTCTAAACTCCTAGTATCCCCCTTAATAACCCCTATAGTAGCCCCCTATATAATCCCCTATATAACCCCCTTTAAGGAGTTTAGACTGTAGCTCATATGGGAGTTTCGTAAGATATCCTCACATGCATAGCCCTCAGAGAGCCCAAGTGATACTAGGACAAGCCGCAGAACACCCCTCAGGTTTTTGCGTAAGGGTCCTCCTTTTTTTGGAATACCCCAGAGTAACAGGACATTTGGATTCCCCAAAAGCTACAATTAGAACGCTATAACTATCATATGAGTCATATGAGCCATTGTCTAAACTCCTAGTATCCCCCTTAATAACCCCTTTTGTAGTCCCCTTTCTAATCCCCTGTATAACCCCCTTTAAGGAGTTTAGATTATGGCTCATATGACTACCATAGGGTCTCAGCTTTGGTGGCTGCAGTTACTAAGACTCTGTCATTAGAGCGTGGTCATTAGTAGGGTTTAGGGTCCATGGCAAACCACAAAACGAACCTTAATAAATCCTCCATTAGCTTTTGGGGGTCCGGTAAGTCTTTGAGGGCTACTCCTGAGAGATACCCCTATAGGGGTATATAGCGATATCAGAAGATCACGAGGAGGGTCCATGTCCGGAAGTTGGTAGACAAAACCATATGACTTTAACTACCTCCCGTAAGAGACCCTAAACCCTGAACTCTAAACCCTGAACCCTAAACTCTAAACCACCCTAAACTGGAAGTTCCCTGGAACCCTAATAGGAGTCTTCAGCTGGTTCTTAGGGTCAAACCCCTCAACCCAGAAACCCAAAATCCCGAACTCTAGACCCTAAAGTTTATGGTGAAAATCCCCAAGGGTTTAGGGTTGAGGGTTATAATTTGGGTGCTGCCCCCCCTCAGTAACAGTTGCATAATGATTATAACATGGTTATATATAGCCC